TAGCTGGAGATGGATGTTGGTGGGGTTGTGGGTTGTTCTTTTTTTTTTGTCCCTACCTATGTTGGAATTGTGGTTATTAATTTGAAAAATGCAATAGAGATTACTTATGACTGACTTCGGAGGCCTGTTGTTTATGTGGATGAACTATATGAAAAGCAGAATCTGCACAGATGCAAATTGTGCCTTCCATTAACACTAATTGAAAATTTAATTTATATAAATGTTTCTTCTGCTGATGTAATGTGACGGGGCGTTCAGTTTGACTGCCTATGAAGCTCTGTTAAGACAAGGACATAAGACTTAAATATCAAGACAAATCAAAATATTTTTGGTAAAGCACTCTCAAATCTCTAGTTTGGTGTTTCTGTGTAGAAGTATGTGCGCTGGCTTGTGGGTGTATTATTATGTATTAAGAAAAAAATTTTGTTGACAGGTTTTCATAAAAACTTTACTCTCCTACAGCTTTTGTAGAAATAAAAATACTTGTGATTTTTATCATTCAAATCTGGTTTTTGGTAGAATGCCATGATGACATTTGAAGAAGAGAAAATGCAGGTGGCGTGTGATGACTTAAAGGCTACAGAGAAACTTTGTGAAAGTGAAGAAGCTGGAGTTATAGAAACAATCAAGAATAAAATTAAAAAGAATGTAAGAACATTATTTGTAAAATATGGCATCGTGTAGTGAATAAATATTTCTGGAAATTTCCTTTCTGTCCTCGTTTGACCTGTATTTTGAGAAGCTTATTTTTGATATGTGAAGAGCAGTTGAGATTAATAAATTGAGAAATTAAGTTAAATATTGTGCTTGGATTTCCTACCTAGTCAGGTGATTCCTCTTCTAAAGCAGCAGGTTGTGGTAATGTTAGTAATTATTTTCTTAACACCTCAAATCAGTGAACTTCTAGCCTGTCTAATTAAAGCTAACTTTAATTCATACATGCTCTAGTAATGTTCAAAAGTTGAGGTTGAGGCTTCTGTGTGCTGGTCATATTCCTAGGGCATTTTCCTTCCTGTTCTAGATCTTTCCAGCTAAATAATGAAGGAAGAATAAAGCATGCAGATTGAGAACTAGTGAAAGCAGTAGCATGGAAATGTCAAGTGGCCTGCGTAGCATCACATAGCAGATCTGCCGCAGATGAAGCAGCCATTTCTCTTCAATACTTAGTTTACTTGATAAAAAGTATTGAACCTGACATACTTAACTCTGCTCTTAAGAGGCACTGTATTTTCCCTGCCATTTGCCATATACGCCTTTCGGTGCTCTTTCATGTAACATCTGTTAGTTGCGTGTTTGATGTATTTAGTAATATTTAAATTAAATCTAAATCTGTTCTGAATATTTGTAAAATCTTAAGAACAATAGTTGATAGCATATATGTAAGGCTTCCCTGTTTGTTAAGTAGGAGCCTGCTCGAGGGACTGTCAGAAAACTTCAAAATGCTGAGTTAATTCAGTAGCAATACTACCACTTGCGGTTAATTTTGTATTTTTTAATTTGTCATGTTTAGACCAGTATCTCATATTATCTTTGTTAATTTTTTTTGTTGCTCTGTGTTTGTATGTTCCAAACAGGTTGATGGACGTAAATCCACCCTATCCATGATCGATCGTCTGCAAAGGCAGATAATTGTAGCAGACTGTCAAGTCTACTTGGCCGTGCTCTCATTTGTAAAACAAGAGTTATCAGGTGTGCTGTGGCTTTAATGTTCACATACATTTTTTGCATGTTATCTCTTTCATATAGCTTGATCATAAAGTGGCAATATGACTGTCAGTGAAGGCAATTGCCTGGTAAGAAAGAGCACGGTTCCATTTGAAACGTTCCAAGACTGGTACACTTGCAGAGGTATTGTTCTACCTTTGTGTAGGTAGTAGTATTATGAAATGAGTTGGATTGCTGCAGATTACAGCTTTCTACTTTTTTCATACCAATAATCACGTTCAACTGATGCACTTTAGATAGCCTGGAATCCTTTGAGTGGTCCCATAGAGATATTTGAGGAGTTGGTCCAAAGATAGGTAGCATCTGCGTGGTGTGTGTGACCTGCAGGATAAAAGAGCCTGTAAGCCCAAGCTGCCGTGAAAATCCTGAAGTCCCGTATGCATTATGTTCATGGCAACGCAGGGGGATGACAAACTGCTGGTGAAAGTAATTTTAAATGAAGTGTGTCGAAGGTGGAACTGCTGAATCAGCTCCTTATTCTCTGGTCGCCAGAGTGTGTCCTTGCACACCAAAGAGGTTAATCCTGGTTTGTTGAATACAAACCTCCTTGTCTCAGCTGCAAAGCTGTTTCTAATGTTCTCTTGCATTCCTGATCTCTTGCATAATCTTAAAACATGCCTTCATCCATGAGAGATAGAAAATGTGGTCAAGGTCATATACAAAGTGAGTGCGTTCTTAGGTTCTTACCAAATCAGTGAAGACCAAGAGATGGCAGTCAGATCAGATTGTCAGTGAAAACCCTGCTGGTCAGCTGAAAGGAATTGGGGAAATAACATTCAGATTATTTAAATAAACACTAAGATCTTCAGTCAAGGACACAGTGCTTTCTGTGATGTTGCTGACATGGTTTCTTCCAAGCCATAGCATCAAGAATGTGTTTGGTTCTAGCTAGCAGAAATTCAGAAGGTAGTTCTCTCTGCTGTGCCTGCAGTGCTGCAGAAAAGTGTTCTTACTATTTTTGATGCATTTCTGGGTTTTCATTTGTGGGTGGTTTTTTTCCCCCTCTTGGAGATTTTTTTTCTTATTTCAGTATGAACTCTGCAGCTGCAGAACTGGGTTGGATGCTGTGAGTGAGGGGGGTGCCCGTTCCCTTTCTCTCATGTGTGCTGCTCAGAGCTGAAGTGGGTAGCAGAGTACTGCAGAACATGCAGATATTTGGGTTGCTCTACTGAGTAAAAAAAAAAAAATATACCTGAAATCATTAGTTAAAATTCCAAGCATTGAAATGCCACCCCAGCAACTGTTGGTTGCTGCCGCTGCCAAACTGTTGCATCCAGTGTTTCAGTTTTTGCAGTATATTATCTCTCTGCTTTTATATAAAACATTTGTTTTTATCACGTATCTGTACAGAAATAGCAACCAGATTATGGAAGTGAGTGTAATTAAAAAGTGCATTCTTCAGAGACAGAGAAATATTTCTGATCAGTGGAACACTTTGACAAAAAGCATACGATGATAGCTGCTTTCTCATATGCCTACCACCTTTTACGTTTTCTTTTCCACCCTCACGGATGTATGACAGATAGTTTCATCAGAAAGTTAGTAACACAGCAATTTATATTAGCTTTCCACAGCAATACTGAACTACCTTTTCTTGATGTGTACCACTGCTGTCGTGGGTCTGGCTACTTCCAGAAGCTCATGCTGGGAAATCAGCTCAGTGATTAGACTTGATTTAATTTTTATGTTTAAAAAGTCAGATATTTATTATTTTAATTCATTAGATTGGTGTTTTTTTCTGTGGTATGTCAAATCTGTCAGTGTTATGCTGTGTTAGTGAGCTGTTCATGATGGCACACTGAGGGAAGTAAAGCCTAAAGCTATACTTCCCCCCCCATATCCTTTCCATTTGATGCGTGCATCAGAACACAGTAGTTAGCTATTAACAGAAACACTATCTGTAGGATGAGTAAAATGTGGGGTTTTCCTTGTAATTTGTCTGCTGCTTGGCTATGCGTGGTTGTATGAGTATTCATCTTGTGGTGAACCACATAACTTTTTAAATGTTCTGTGTAGCCAAAAAGTGACCTAATTGCTTAAAATTGAAGTAACGCTAGTCTTGTAATGCAGCTGAATTATGGCAGGGGTTGACATTTTTTATTCTAACACTTTAATATAGAACTCAAGAGAGGATTAATTTTTTTTAACTCTTCAGGTTGACAGAACCCTTCTGTCACAACTGAGAATACAAATTTTGCAGTCTTTCACAGTATGATTTCTTAAGACTATGAAACTAACTTCATCCCTCCTTCGTAGATCAAGAATCCAAAAGGGGTGGTCTAGTCCTTGATGATATTTTCTCTTGAAATTTTTTTTTTCCCCTGTAGTTGGAAGGATTTTGTCAAAGAAGACTAGTGAAGAGTGGTTTGGTATTAATAGCATTTTCCTTTTCTTTGACCCCTCCCCACCCGTTATAACTGATGCCAGAATTAGATCATAACACTGATGTCTGCAAATTTGGTGATACCTGTTTAGAACACTGCTGCTGTAACCATCCTTCTGTTTTCTCTCGTTTTGTGCTGGTGTGTGCTTTTACAGTTAACATGTACAGGTGTGTTCTGTGTTTGTTTTTACCACTTACCACTGTCCAAGGATGTGCTATAACCAAGACGAGATGAAGGCCATGTAAATAGGTAGATTGGACATCTTCCTCTTTGGGTGTCATGCCTTTCTTTACCCTCCTGTAGAGAGGGTAAGAAAACTGAAAATCCTCAAGACCAGATTTTTAGGGAAATTTGGTACCCTGCTTGCATTTTAAAGTGAGGAAGTCAGGCAACTGAAAAGTGCTTTGGAACAATGAAATTTTTATGCATGCTTTTTTTTAATGATATTTTTCTTAACTATAAAGCACTGCATTCATAGAGGAACAGGGAAACGATGGTGTCAAAAATCTTATCTAGCCCAAAGGAAGGGGTTTTCGTAGTATTTTCCTATCAACTTTTAATGTCATCTGTACTTAGGAGGTGTCATTTCTTCTTTGAGTCTGGCTTCTCTGTTTGCCAGGCAGCCATTTCATTTCCCCTCTGTAGTGGAGCACAATCCAGCATGGATTTCCTTGATTTCTCCATTTCTTTCTGACAGTAGTATTGCTACATAGCTGAAGGGAAGTCCTTTTGTACTGCATGCTGTTTTAATGTCTCTGGCTGAAAAGCACTTAGGTTTGTAGAGCCCAGTATGAAAGACCTCTTGGAAGGGTGAGTAGCTATTACAGAATCCTTTATACAGTAAGTTTACTGCAAATAGAAAGAGAGCATCCTAGGATTTGTGAAATAGCATTTACTACTTTGTTCTGCTTCTGAAATACATCCTTGAGATATATATTTTTTCCTTGCTTTTTAGCATACATAAAAGGTGGGTGGATACTCCGAAAAGCCTGGAAAATTTACAATAAGTGCTATACGGACATTAATACACTTCAGGAAATGTATCAGAAGAAAACAACTCAGGAATCCTTGACTTCTGATGCTGCAAATGATAATCATATTGCTGCAGAAGGTGTAACGGAGGATTCGCTAAACAGACTGAAAGGTGCTGTTAGCTTTGGATATGGACTTTTTCATCTTTGCATATCCATGGTGCCCCCAAACCTGCTCAAAATCATCAACCTGCTGGGTTTTCCTGGAGACCGCCTACAGGGGCTTTCTTCACTGATGTATGCAAGTGAAAGTAAGGACATGAAGGCCCCTTTAGCTACGTGAGTAGCTATATTGAAATGCTTTGGTAGATAACTTAGTACTAAAAGTAAGTAACTGGAAAAAAGTTGAAACCAAGAAGTCATGTTGCTTTAAAGGAAACAACAGCAGGTAATAGAAACTTGTAGTTTGTTTTAACATGCCATGGTTTGGTAAGCTCATCACTTCCTGATGTAGAAGATCTCTCTGCTGTTACTGTCATACGTTGGGGGTTTGTGTCAGTGTTTTGCTGCGTTCTGCAGTACCGGCTATTCTAATGTCTGATGATTTATATGCCAGCAGAGTAAATAGAGGCATGCCCTGAAGGCTCAGTAAGATTACTGGAGTTGTGTTCTCTGCTATGGAAGGCATAATATTTTGTGTGAGTCTTTGATCTCGCTTAGTTATTTATCCTTACTATTAGCCAAAGATCTTCTTCCAGTTTATTATTAATTTTAGCATCTGAGTAAAATGGGATGTTGTCTTGTAGTCTTTTTAGAGGAGTATTTTTTTTGGTACTCTTCCCCCTAACTCCCTCCCCTCCACCTCTCCCCCCGCCCCAAGCCTTCATACTGGTTCAGTTCTTTTTATCAGATGAAGGGTTAGCCAGACCTAATTTAAACTGCCCTCATAAATGGATTTATTATTCCATTATCTCCAAATTAATGCTTCTGTTACTGGACCTACTGAAGGTACCATCAGGTGTCACTTTGGAAACATCAACAGCAGACCTGAAGTTTCTTCTGCTTGAGAAAAGTTGGATTTCTGATCGGTTGAGAAAGCTTAAGATTAAATGTTCCTGTTGATTTGTTCTTTCTCCTTTCTGGGGAAGAATAACACTATTTCTGGGGGGGTTTCCTCCTTCAGATGGTCTTGAAAGTCGTGCTCTGCCCTTGTTTCCAGGAGCGATGTAGGTCATGTAGATGTCTGCCCTTCTGAACACCGGATGCTTTTCTTTTTGACGTTGATTTCAAGTGTGTCTGCTGATGTGTGTTTAGATTTGTTGTTGGGTTTATTTGTTGGTTGCCTTTTTTTTTTTTTAATTCCCTCTAATGAACAATTTGTTTTCAAAGTTTCCCTGTGGGTTTTTCTTTTTAAAAATCTAAAGAGTTCTAAAGGCTCAACTACTTTGATGTTGTGAGCTTGATTGTTACCTTACCTTTGGGTAACGTGCACTGAATTGTATGTTCAGGTGCAGTTTAGGAGTACGTTGATGTATGACAATAGTATTGTGTTTGTTTTAATGCCACCAAGTTGTATAAGAAAAGATTCATACCTTTTGTCTTTCAGAATAGTTTAAAAAAATTTGCTTGTGTAGAATGTTATTCTTGTATTTCTGTTTACAAGCTGTAATCTCTTTTACTCTTCTGTTTCTTTTAGATTAGCTCTGTTGTGGTACCACACAGTTGTTCGTCCCTTTTTTGCCCTTGATGGCAGCGATAACAAGGCAGGGTTGAAGGAAGCAAAAGAAATCCTTGCAAAAAAAGAATCTGCTTATCCAAACTCGTCTCTGTTCATGTTCTTCAAGGGAAGGATACAGCGATTAGAGGTACTGCGTGTTTTCTTACTTTGGACTGATTTCTCCCCTCTCCCCCCATCCCCCTCCCCTTCTTATTTTATGTTTTTCTGATGTGAACTGTGCAAGCTTCAGCAAATTGTGACTACAGATATAGATACAGGGAAAGTTAAGTAAGAAAAAAGGATTAACTCCTTCCTAGTTTCAAGTTCACATACTCTTTCACTACTTCTATCTGAAGTAATGGCACTTGGAAATTCTTTCAGCTACTTGATACATTTCTAGCTCCCTGCAAAAAGGAAGTGCTTTTGGCCACTCATGAGTTTCTTGTGGTATAAATAGCTATTTCAGTTTTGCTTGTCAAGCTAAAATCTTGAGTATTATCTGCTAAGTACATAGCATTTATCTCCCCCTTTTCGTTTTATGCATTGTTCATATACTGCTAATTCTCTGCAATTATTTCTCTCAAATAATTGCTTTTGCTTTTAAGAGGTCAAACCAGGATGTTTTCTGTTGTTAAGAGTGAGCTCTGACCCAAGCAGAAATGTATTCACTGTAAATGTGTTTGTGAATGCTGTTGCAGAGTGTTACTCAAACGCTGCAGTAGCTTCATGGGTTTGGCTGAGTTACTCCTGAAGAATTTGTGATAATACAAGATGCTGATGACGATTTCAAACTACTCAGCTTCTAGCTGCTGCTCTTATCAGACCAGAGTATTTCCAGAGCAATTGCATTAACAAGAAAACCCAACACAAAAGCTCAAACCCTTCATCTCAACATTATAATTACAGGAGCTAATCTAGATCTTAATATTGATGGTCATTCGTTGCTGGGGTTTGCAATTAACTCTCTCAAATGCGACTTCATATTTGAGGGAGGTAGCAACAGAAGGGGGCGGGGGGGCACACTTTTGTGGCCTATCAGATTTTGCAGATAAGGTTTGGATATTGTTCTTCTTTTTGCTGTCCTTCTGAAAGCAAATGTGCTTTTGGGGAATTGCAGTGTCACAGGCAGGCTCTCAGTCTTTGAGAAGTATTTCTGAGTGGGAAAGATTGATTGGTCTTTGTTCAAATATACGCGTATTTCATTCTTCTGGTAAAAATCAGATTTAGTGGGAATAGCTACAGAATGAACGCTAGTGCAGTAAAAATGTAAACAGGTTGATTGCCAAAGCATGACTTGGTATTTGGAACTTTTTTTTCATGTTTAGTGTCACGAGGAATAAAATTCAGCTATTTGGTTCTTCTGACTTTCAGGGCGAGCTAGGGCAAGATTGTAAACAATAAACTGAGTATATGTGTCTATGTGTAAATTTGGAGGATGGTTTGGGATGAGTGTCAGCTTTGTGTAGTCAATCCCTTTCTGGAGTACCATTATGTTTCAAAGCAGAGATCTTTAAGGGTATTTGCGCATTAAATGATGCGGAGTATAGACACCCGGGTTTAGCTCCAGGTGCAGCAGTCTGTGCCAGAGGCAGTGTGGCCATGTTAGAAAGGTTAGTTAGCCGAGGCAGGCAGAGAGGCAGAGTGCTGTGTGTTATGCTAGTAGCCATGCCCGTAGTCAGCAGAAAGCTTTGTGGTTGCTAACAGGAATTAAATGTCCCTATTCAGTATTTGTTTGTATGAGAGCTTTTCCATTCAAGAGCCTCTTTTTTTTTTTTTTTTTAATGTGTGTGCATGTTTGGTTTTGGTAGGGTTTTTTTATTGTTGTTGGCTGGGGTTTGTTTTTGTTTTGTTTTTTTTTTCCCCAGTTGTCACTCCTTTGTTCTAAGAGGTACTGTACCATTGAGGCTTTGTGGTGTCTAAATGTTTTGGTTAAACGTGTCAAGCTCCTCTTATACGCTCTGTTAAGATTTTTCAAACTGAATTTGCTCAAATGTTGTTGTAATGGTGAAGGTAGGTGTGTGACTGGTGGCAGTGGCATGGGGAGCTGCACTAGTTTTCTGCACAGCACACTCGTAGTTACACATATCCCAAATCTGGGCATTGGTCTTATTCTACCTATTGAATGAGAAGTGCACGTATACTCTTAAATTAACCCAATATGCTGAGTAGTAATTTCCACTTCATCTCCAAGGGGGCTGAGTGGAGCTCCTGCAAAACCTAAGAAGTGCCCTTCCTTGAAATTATTAAACACAGGTAGGTTTAAATATTTTCTTTTTCTGTCAGGCAAGGGATTATTACTTTGAGGTGGCTTACTGAAATTGGTAAGTCTCTGCTTTAACCTATAAGCACTTAAAAGTATACCTTCAGCTGAAGCTTGTATATTTTTATAGTCTTTAACATATGTCATCTTTTAACAATTCTGTGGTAAAATTTAATTGTACACAGATGAAAGGCAGCTTAGATGTTGTACAGAAAAGCTTTGTATTGGAGCCTACTAGTACTCAGTCCGTTGGATCTTTTTGTAGTCTTTGGTCCTACAAATACATGTACACTTTGTGTAACTTTCAGCTGATGGTCTATTCAGCTCCTATTAGCAAGTCTGTGTGTGCGTATGCTAACATAGACACACAGAGGCACGGCTGTATGTGTGTATTTTTAATGTTCTGTGGGAAAAAGAGACTGTAAGGAGCATAGCTCAGCCATGGGAATCTCCTCTAAAGGCAGAAGCAGTAGTCCAAGACTGGACTGTGAGATGCAAACCTGATGAAGGAGAAAATTGCTGAGGAATGAAAATTTCCCGGTGACAGGGCTGTGGAAGACAAATAAGGAGCATGTGACTGTATAATGCTTTGTGCTCCAAAAAGCATGTATGAATACTAGTCAATAAAAGCCTTAACACATCTGTTTTCTACAAAGTTGCCTTATAGGTGCTATAGATGTAGACCAAATTATCTTTCAGCTTTCTTCCCAGATTCATGTTTTGAGAAATGAAGTCTGAAAGTGCTTGGAGACTATTGAAGTGAATGAGTTGAGGGGAAAGGAGGGGAGGATGATCAGGGAAAGCTGGAATGAAAGTGCACTATAAAGCTAAAGGTTGCACTGGCAGTCTGATCCAATGTCTCTTTTTCAAGGAGTAGGTTAAGAGACTACATATGAAAATAGCCCTTTCCCTGACCTTTTTACATCGCTCACTTAGTGTGGTGTTAGGGACATCACTATTGCTGTGCTTGGCTTGCAGCTGTATGGTGTGTATTCCAGCCTCCCAAGTATTTATTTGTGTCCGACTATTTCTGTCTTTAAAATACTTTCCACTAAAGCTGATAATGATGTTTCAGCTAAGCTTAAGGTACTAAACAAGTGAGAATAATGTTTTATACTTGTGCCTAAAGGGAACTTAAGAAATGTAATTAGTGTAATAGCTGCTGCAACCCACTGGTCTGAAATCCAGAATTTCCAGCTGTACCCTTGGGCCTTTCTTCTTACTGTGAAAATAAAAACAACACCATCCACTTGCTAATTGTGCCTTGTCTAATCTCATAATTATGTTAATAAATACCAATTTACTGTTAAAACTGTGACTTGGGCTATTCAAGTGTCGTATTGTGGCCAGCAGTGAAAGATGGGCATGGTGGTAGCATGAGAGAGGGCAGAGTAAAAGGTGGTGTTCTGAATCTCATGTACTTCTGCTTTTCAGCTTGCAATTTTGTTTTCTCTTTTTGTTTTCTAATCAGCAACTTTTTTTTGTTAAATCTCCATCTGCTTTTTGAAATGGTACAAATCACCCCACTCAAATCATTTAGTAGATTGATAGCTTCATTGTGGAGAGCGGTAAGGGTGCAAAGCAAAAACAGTGTTTGGCAAAATCGTGGACTGGTCAGGATTGCTTCTCTTTGATTGGGAACAGATTCTGGGTGTGTATAATAAACAATGAGAAATCTCGGGGGCTGGGACAGGACACCCTGGTTCTGAGCAAGGAACCACCCCGGTTGGAGCGAGTCCAGAGGAGGCCACAAAGATGATCAGAGGGCTGGAGCACCTCTGCTATGATGAAAGGCTGTGAGAATTGGGCTTGTTCAGCCTGGAGAAGAGGAGGCTCTGAGGAGACCTTATTGCAGCCTTCCAGTACCTGAAGGGGCTACAAGGAAGCTGGGGGGGACTTTTTACAAGGGCCTGTAGTGACAGGACAAGGGGTAACGGGATTAGATTGAAAGTGGGGAGGTTTAGATTGGATATCAGGAAGAAGTTCTTCCCGGAGAGGGTGGTGAGGCACTGGAACAGGTTGCCCAGAGAAGCTGTGGATGCCCCATCCCTGGAAGTGTTCAAGGCCAGGCTGGATGAGGCTTTGAGCAACCTGCTCTAGTGGAAGGTGTCCCTGCCCATGGCAGGGGGGGTGGGACTAGATGACCCTTAAGATCCCTTCCAACCCAAACCATTCTATGATTCTATGAGACCAGATCTGTAGAGGTCAGTTGGTATAGGTACATGTTAAGAGACTGAGGGGACAAGTACCAAATAGCACCAGTGGCGCATTGGGGTGTGGTACGGTGTGTGTGATGTACAGGCTGCTGAAATTGTGCAGTAGCATGGCCGGCTTAAATATACTGCCGACAGGTACGCTTGCTCCTGCAGTTACCTCTTGTAGACATCCTAGTATCAGTTGTATTGTTCTTATTTGGGGGTGGGAGGGTGTAGCATGGTAAAGTAGCCTGAGGGCAAGAGTAGTAATAAGAGTTCAAGAGTCTCTCAAAGGAATTTTCTGGAAAAAAGTCACAACAATGTCTTAAGTAAAGAAATTTTCAGAGCTCTTACAATGTCAAGGTTTATTTTCAGGAGTTGTGCTGGCCTCTCTAGTTACTTGTTCTAGGCTATAAAATACAGAATCCTAATTTTGCTCTATTTTAATTTGGTGCCATGTCTAGGGAAAAATGGAGGAGGGCGTGTTCAGGAATAGAAAGCACAGGCTTTGAAATTTCTATATAGTGCCCTCCAGTATAAGTTGTCCCTTTTGGATCTTATTTGCTGGCTTCCCATTAATTATGAACATGACTATGAATATGACTTCTTAAAAGTTTTACAAATTGATAGTGCTGATTGAGTATAGGGAGGTCCTGGGAGAGGGAAAGTGCCCTGAGGTTTCAGAGCAACTCT